TTTATTCCATTTATTTTTATGTAATTTTTTTTATGTGTCAAACCATTACCAACACTATTAAAATGACAATCAATTAACCATTTATGTATAATTTCTTATCTCTTTACAATGCATAATGGGGCAGGTTTTTACATCCAATAACTTCTTTACCATTCATATTAAATGATGATAATGATAATAATTTGTTTCATATGTAATTGTGTATTTTACTTACTCGTCTGGAAATGGTATAGGTTGCAGAAAACTAGCCAAATTGGGTCTCCAGTCTTCAAACTCTGACCTATAGAAATAATATTCAAACATCAGTAGAATAAAATTAAACGAATGTCAAATCACTATCATAAATCAAACACTTTGAAATTGAAAATATTAATTACCCAAAGGATAATTCTGTAATTCAAAATAAAAACATTTCCACAAGAAACAATTCACAGTTTCAGGAATATTTTCTGTGCACTAACTGTTATATACATCAATTTCCAAGAATCAAGGATCCAAGGTAATGACATTCCCAAGAATCTGCATAATAGTAAGGTATAACAAGGTTTAAATAATAGGTGTCCATAATATCTAAGCACACAGGAAATATCACATTTTCTAGCTCAGTAGGATCATATTTTTTTGATCCTACAAATGAAGTATTGGCGTCACTAATGGAGTAATTCACATAAAAGATGGTATTTCCTGCTATTTCAATTGAATAAATTGTTCTTCAATTTTTTTCCACATTGAAAACATGCATTTTGTCACGTATTCAGACTAAAGGGGCGGGTCCTAAAAAATCAGGATCCAGCTAGGACTGATATTTGAGAAATACATTAATACTTTTCACTGATATAAAATCAATATGTGGCAAATTTTTTTGCATACTCAAATGTTACAGTAACATTAAATCGTATGCTTGTATACATATGATCATTCTTAATTTGTTTTCAATTGTCAAATTTTCCTTCTTTGTGTGTCCCTATTCTTTAGGCTGTTATAGCTTGCCAGAAGAATATAAATACACAGCAGGTAAACCTCTCGACTTCATATAGATAGATAGATAATTTATTCCAACATGAGCAGAAAGTACAAAGTATTTTTACAAGCCCAGAACATACATAATGTTTATACAATCAGCGTAACAAAAAAAAATCATAATTTTACTCAAGTTGGTCGATTCTATATGGCCTTAATATATGTTAATAAAACAACAACATAATGCTAGCATTAGGAAAATAAACAGTTTACAGCATATATCAAATGACACACATCGTGTGTAGGCTCGCTTCTCCAAAGGTTTTCTACCGAGCTAAAATCTAAGGCAGGATATTCCTTGCGTATAGAGCTTGCCAAAGGACATGTAATGTAATGTAATGTATAGATGTAATGGCAACTTACATGGTCTCTAGAATGGCAAGGTAACAGGTTAGGCGGTCATGTATCTCAGTCATGATGTAGCTGCTGATGCTGTTATTATTGAGCATAAATCTGAAATGTCAAGGAAATAAAGCATTTATCAATGGTGCTGTGATAATCTGTATTCCTAAATGACAACTCCAGTGAAATAGCCAAGAACAGACAAACTCTCAATGATATATTCCTAGCATGTTGCGTTGTTGATAATCAAAATTATTTTCCATCCAGAATGACAAAATCATGTTAAATCATTATGAAACCCGTCAAGTAATTTTTTTTCGCTCAATATTCTTCATTTTGCACCTAGACTGAAGAATGTTATAAAATAAACAGGGCACTAAATTAAAGAATTAGGAGATCTGGAATTTGTGCCTTCCTATAATTAAATTCTATTTTTATTTTCTGTCCTGAGAAACATCTCAAGCTTCCACTTAATATTAGCACTGTTCTTTGACAAATACCACATTTGCTTTGCTAATCCCCATCAATGGTTAATCACTGTCACTTTTACAATGTGCAAGACTTGGATTTTTTTTTTTTGCCTGTACAATGATGAATTTCTGACCTTTTTTTTTTAAACATCCTTTTATTGAGAACCTGAAGGTCACAGCAAACACAATAAAACAAACAATAATAAAAATTCCTCATCATAACATGTTCTGATATTTCATACTTTTCTATTGACAATTCAAATGCCACCTTAACATTGGAAACAAGCCAGAATTCCTCCAACAATACATAAAACCACTGAGAATGATCTCGCAACACTGAGGTCTCAGCTAAGGGCTAACAAAGCCACGGGCTTGCCCTTTCATCTGATCTAACCGCAGGCATACTTTATAAACAATGAATTTTATGAATAAATGAAAACAGTAGCTGAAATTGTAGATGAAGTACAAAGATGGAGGTTAAATGACTTACGTTTTTCTGTCTTCGTAGCATCCATAGATAGCAGCAAAACAAACTGCCACCAAGTTGGGCAGCACTCTGGGATGTGGACATACACTGGTTGGACCATGCATACTGAAATATATATTATATATTATATATTGTAGACTTTCTTAACTATTACACATACTGGACAGGAAGAAAATGTGTATGTGCCTGTCTTGCATATCAGCACCATCTAGAGACCAACTAGACAGGTTGGAAATCAACAAGTTAAGCTGCATCAAAGAGTGCATTCCCAGAGATTTAGATCGATCCATTTGGATCAACCCAACTCCCTGGGGGTTCACGCTAAATTTCTGTCAGCCGAGCGCGCATGACAGTTAATTACCCCCTTACTGTTTTCAGGAGGCGGGACAGACATTAAGGCTGGTTAAGCTGACACCAATCTAGCGAGACTCCCCAGGGGGATAGACCGATCTAAATATATTTGGGAATGGGGTCATAGTGCTGCCTATTGTAGTGAATATGGTCAAAATGAGAACTATTTAGTATTAAGGTAAGTAAAATTGTTTATTTTTCCACACAAATGAGACCTATAGCACCAAAGCAAAATTGTTAAAACCTTAATTAATTTTTTTATCCATGAATAAGAAGTGGCCATTCCTTATATTTCTACAGGCCTTTGAAAACATATCTATAAAAAGTTTTTTAATACTTACGTTTTCACAAAATTCTTTACCACTCGGATTCCGTCATTCTGTGAGCTCAAGGCCTGAATATACTCTGTGATGAAGGCTCTAGAGCGTGGATGCTTTCCAAAGTCCTTAAAAATCAATTATTTCAACAAAATAAATACATATTCTCAATTATTTAAATGCTTGGTTTGATCCCACATGTAAACTTTTTAAAAAATCATGCCAATGGGAAATGATAACTGAACCAAATTGAACTTTTGAGTCAATAAAAAATTATGAGTGACAAAATGAGATTTATTATTCTTTAAAATCCATTTCATGACCCCTTCAATGATCTGAATACTTTCTTAAGTAATGCATGGATCTAAGCACATTTTCTCTGCCCGTTTTGCTTTGGCACCTTGAAACTCAATGTCTCTGATCAAATGGAGTCTTCTGAATAAAATTATTTCTGATGCAGTCACAAAAATACAGAAAACAAACTACAATCATGTAGTCTGAGAAGAAACAACACTATGACTTCTACAATCCCATTAACAATGCCATTAAGCATACATATAACACAACTTCTAAAAGTCCATAATCAATAAAATATTATAAATCCCTTAAAATGACAATTAATTTTTGGAATGAAAAAACGTGTAGGTATCTCACACAGCCTTTTTCTTCATATATGTTTCTAGCACCTTAAGGTAGATCGGTCGTTACATGTTCCAACGTTCGAATTTTTTTAAAATTTTTTTTGTTTGAAGAGACACGCAAGTACATTAAAAATTTGCAAAAAAAATTGGGGGTCACCGACCAAATAAGAGAACTAGCCCCAAATATGATACACCCTGCATATCGCACTAGTCCCCATTCAAATCAATGGGAAAATGTGTGTTTTCTCACTAAAGCATTATTTTTTATGACTTTCTGACGTTCGAATTTTTTTAAAAATTTTTTTGTGTAAAGAGGCCTCCAAGTACATTTAAATTTTACCAAAAAAATTGGGGGTTACCGACCAAATAAGAGAACTACGCCAAGTTGAAGTGCGCTACACCCTGCGTGACGCACTAGTCCCCATTCAAATCAATGGGGAAATGGGTGTTTTTCACCAAAACGTTATTTTTTATGATTTTTCTAACGTTTGAATTTTTTAAAAAAACTTTTTTTTGTAAAGAGGCATCCAAGTAGATTTTAATTTTGCCAAAAAAGTTGGGGGTCACCGACCAAATAAGAGAACTACGCCAAGTTGAAGTGCGTTACACCCTGCGTGACGCACTAGTCGGAAGTCCCCATTCAAATCAATGGGAAAATGGGTGTTTTTCNATCTACCTTAAACAAAAATATTCAGCCAGTCTTGTGGAAAATGACATTAATTTGGTCTTTAGAACAGAGAAATTTATCAAGGATTCACGGTAAGGCATAAAAAACATTAATGGTCAATTTCTATCCTTTTATGTACTGCTGTAAATGCGGAGAGAGAGAGAGAGAGAGAGAGAGCATGTGCATAAGTGTGTGTGTGCAATTCACAGGTTTAAAAATGTTTATTGTTAGATCGTATTTTTTTTTTTTTTGGGTATGGAATAAATAATTAATATAATGAGATGGAAAACACATCCTATGAATCACAATGGGATACATAAAGAACATCCTGTCACACTTGGTTACCCAAAGCTAAATTGGCCTTTGTAACCCCTTTGGTTTGTTAATTTCAGCAAACATTACCATCGCTCTGTAGCAGCATTTTCTGCCATTCATAAAAAAATCGTGTATTAATCTTTTATGACTTGCTATGAAACAAACTGATGCACCGTTTTTACTCATTTTCCATAGCTACACAAAGCTTTGAAAACTGCACAACCAGCTGCTCTTGTGACATGTACATTTTCTCTCTTAAAAGGCTACTTTTAGCCAGCAAGTACTTTTGTGAGAGCATTAAAGGAAATTAAACCTATATATAATGTATGACTCTATTTCATTGTTCATTCGTACGTGATGAGAGCAGTATTGTGGTTTTGATTTCTATACCAGCATCTCTACTCTGTACATCCTCTATGATTTCAATGCATGATTAAAAAATTATGTCCCATTATTTTGTTCTGACTGCATGCGTCATATTTATCAGGACAATGACATTAGGTGAAGGATGAACATGAAATTAACATCTGTCCTAGCTGTACATTCGGCTTGTGTAGTTTCTATTCAGGCCTGTAGGGGGAGGGGGGGATGGTTAGAAAAAACACCCTTGTTTCAGGTTTCATGGTAAAAGGTCCGCTTTTTCAGAAAAAGAACGCTCCTTTTGAAATTGCTGTCTACGGGCCTGCTATTGCTTACAACTGTAACAAACCTCAGTCTACCCAGTGACTACCTTATCGATCGTTTAATTTCATAGGCTTATTTTTTAATCAATTAAGTCTTGCAAAAAAATAATTAATTAAACCAATCATGGACTAAGTAAAAAGTCTTGTTATTTATATCTATGTGCAAAGAACATAAATAGGATTTGGTTTAGTTTTAAGTTTTTGTACCAAGACTTTTTAGGCCTGCAGAATCCTTACATTCTGTTTCAACCACTTACCATATTGTGTTTTAAAATCCTATGCACCACTGGCGTGAAGAGTTCAATGACAATTTTTGATCTTGGACTGTTACGACAATGCTGGAATATAAAGCAACCATATATCACCATTATAATGCACAGATGTGGCAGTTAGTTTTGGTTTTCAGCACATTTTTCCATGAAAGCTGATGAAGGTCTAATAGCCTTTTTTGAAAACAATAAACTGCAATATCATATAATCAAATATAGTCTTTTCAGTTTTCAAATTATTATATGATTTTATTGTGCTTTTAAAAAATTTACAAAAGTTCATTTTTTCCATTTATTCACTGACTAAATTAACTATATTTCATTAACACATAAAATAAATATAATTACACAATGGTTTATATAACATTTCATTCATTGAAATACTCTTTGAACAAACAATACCAAGCAGGGAGTATTCTTACAATTATCATTCCACTTAACTAACAGAGGGCGCCACAAGACAAGCCCCTCCCCCTACCTTTGAGAAAAAGTCACAGATTTCCTGGGTGGGGTGGTTCTTCTCCAACAATGGAGCTATGGCAACAATGATGTTCTCGTGTTCAATTTTTGACAGAAATTCTTCGTTCTGAAATATCAAAGCATATTCATTGTGTGACCACAGGCGTAACAGCAGGTGACTGTTAGTGAAATTGACATTTTGATGAAATGAAAGAAAACATTTTGGCAATATGAAAAAAATAAGTGATTTCTTTTTTAGATTACATGACACTGCATAAGAACATTTAAAAAGAAAAAAGAAAGAAAAATCCTTCTCATCAGGATCTTTACTAATTTAATCCTGCCGACAGATTAACATCAGCATAGTAGATTTTAGCTAAAGGTTAAATACATTATTACATGACAAATAAAAATACGAAGCATTTTATCATTTTCTGCCAAATTCATCATTCAGTGCAACATTTACATTTGGCTAAAACCAACAGTTTATTTGACTAAAAGGATATTAAACCTTTTTTTAAAGCTGGACTGAGCCCAGAACTCTTTTGAGATAAAAAGCACCAAGAGAGCCAAAAGGCATCTATAGTGAGTGAGGCCATGGGTAATGGCTGTAGTCGATGGCTCTTGGAAAAAGCTTTGTGTCGTGAGCTTCAGCTTTTTTTATGAAAAATGTCAACAGTGATATGGAAGCCATGGGTAATGGCTGTGCTCAAGCTCTTGGAAAAAGCTTTCACAAATTTGTGTCGTGAGCATCAGCTTTTACTTTTATTTTACAGAAATGTCAACAGTTCCTGACCTGCTGCAGTATTTCAGACACCAGCTCCAGGGGAAACTGATAAACACTTGTGTCATGAATGGGCGTAGACAAGGAGTAGTCAACCATGCTCTGAAATTACAGAAATACAATCTTACATTCGATTCATTTTTTAAAACTTTTGGATAACTGATGACAGTAATTTCTATTTGTGGAAAAAAAATAAATAAAAATACCATTCCTAGGCCATGTAGAGGTTTATATTTCTTTTTAATAGTCAAGGTCATTTTGGTTGACTCAATTCAACCTTGATGCCCAACGGAAATCCAGCACCTTGCTGCGTCTACTCAAGTAAATTAAACACCTTGCTACTTGATTAATGTTGTAGCATTAAGTTAATTTTGTCCCTTCCAGATCAAATTCTAGAAGCAACATTAAAAACATTACATTAATTATATATTGATATGTGAATTCAAATGTTCAGATTTTCAGAGAAATCTAAGAGAAAGCTTAAAGATGTATCAATTTTACATAAAAGCAACAAAGCAAACCAAAAACTAACAGGATTAAATGTTGGTATTGTCCAATAAAGATAATGAACTGCCAAAGCATCCAGAATTTGAAACTAACAATAATGCCCACCTTGATTTCTTTTACTAACACTTCAGGGCGTCTTGAATTCTTCAACAATTTTTCATACTTGTATATGTGACGCTGTAA